AAAGAAATAAAAAAGCTATAAAAGAGAATGAAATACAAATAAATGTTATAACATGGATAAAGCTTGAAAACTTATACTAAGTGAACGAAGCCAGTCACAAAGAACTACATATTGTATGATTCCTTTTACATGATACAGTATATCCAAAATTAGAAAATCCAGAAAAACAGAAAGCAGATTAGTGGTTACCAGGAGATGGAGAGAGAGGGAGTGATTAGTTAATGATTATGGAGTTTTTCTAGGATGATGAAAAAGTTTGAAAACTAGAGGTGGTAATCACACCACGTTTTAAATCTACTAAATGCCACTGAGCTATAATTTAAAATTGTTAATTTTATATGAATTTTACCTCAACTTTAAAAATATACCTAGGGGCGCCTGGGTGGCTCAGGCGATTAAGTGTCAGACTTTGGCTCAGGTCATGATCTCGTGGTTCAGGACTTCAGGCCCCACGTCAGGCTCTGTGCTGACAGCTCAGAGCCTGGAACCTGCTTTGGACTCTGTGTCTCTCTCTCTCGCTCTCTGCCCCTCCCTCACTCTCTCAAAAATAAACATTAAAAAATAAATAAATACATAAATAAAAATATACCTATACAAAAAGTGTACATGAATGTTCTTAGTAGCATTACTCATAATAATCCAAAAGTAGAAATAATCCAAACATCTATTAATAGATGGATGGGTAAATAAAAATGGTGTACCCAAACAAAAGAATCTTATCCAGCTATAAAAGGGATAAAAGTACTAACGAAAGCTAAAACTTGAGTAAACTTCAAAAGCATTATGCTAAGTGAAAGAAGCCAGCCACAAAAGTTATTGTATAATTCCATTTATATAAAATGTCTAGAAAAGTACTTCTATAAAGAAAAAGAGTAGATTAGTGGTTGCCTAAGACTGGAAAGGTTGGGAAAAAAATGCAGAGTAACTGCTAATGGGTAAGGGGTTTCTTTTGGGGTAATAATGTTGTAGAACTGAATAGAACGATGGTTGCACAACTCTGAATATACTAAAAACCACTACACTTAGGTGGGTGAATTCTATGGTATGTAAATTATATCTCAAAAAAACTGTTATTTAAAAAAGGAGGGGCACCTGGGTGGCTCAGTTGGTTAAGCATACGACTTCAGCTCAGGTCATGATCTCATGGTTTGTGGGTTCAAGCCCCGCATCGGGCTCTGTGCTGACAGCTCAGAGCCTGAAGCCTGCTTCAGATTCTATGTCTCGCTCCCTCTCTGCCCCTCCCCTACTCACACTCTGTCTCCCTCTGTCTCAAAAATAAATAAACATTAAAAAAAAATTTTTTTTTAATAAAAAAGGAAATAAAACCCCAATAAATGTGTATATATGCTGTAAATTGAATATGAAGAAAGGTATGGAAAGATACACACCAAGTGGGCTGTTAAGTTACCTCAGGAAATGAGATGGGGACAGATGTGAAGTTATCACGTTTTTACAAGTTTTTAAATCCTTATACATCTTCATATTGTTCACTTATTAAAACAGATATTAAGTTAGAAGTTTGAAAGGTTTAAAGTTTGAAAAACATTAAATATGTTTAAAATAAAACAGTACATGCCTCTACACTATCAACTATTTCCTCAAATTGTTAAAAAAAAAAAAGGGCCTGATTGATAAACTTATCTAATTATGAAACTAATTTTTAAGTAGTATTCTCACAGACAAAACTGGGAAGGACTCCAACCCCCTTTTATCATCTAATTCCACAGTACTATTATGTATTAAAAAAAAAAAAAAAAACAGGAGAAAAGCAGGATGTAAAGAAATAGTCATAACTGAGTATTTAGGCTCTTTACTACTCCAACAAACATGAAAACCCTGGAAGTCAGGGCTAAAGAGAGAATGTAGCCCTAGACTCCTTACAAATAAAAAGTAGAAATAAAAGAAGATACACTGTGGGTAACTCTCAAACCCTTAGCTTGAGTTTTTCTGACCTTGCTGAAGAATCGAATCTACAACTGGCACCCTTGAGATTACAGGAAATAATCCTATTCACACAGACTCTGCATCCAGTGACCTGGTTCCTCAGAGACATAGGGAATGACTAACTTGCCTTGTTCAAATCTGTCCTACTCAAGAAACAATTTCTAAAGTTTTGCAGCACGAGACAGAGTTCCCTATTTGTGACATTCTTGCTTCAGAATCTAGCATTTTTCAAAAAGTGTGTCCACTCTAAATATAATAACCACCATCTGCTTTTTATTTAAAAGTTAACATTTTAAAAGATAGGAATCAGGGGCACCTGGGTGGCTCAGTGGTTAAGGTTCTGACTCTTGATTTTAACTCAGGTCATGTTCTCACAGTTTGTGAGTTCGAGCACCACGTTGGACTCTGCGCCAATGGTGCAGAACCTGCTTGGGATGTACACTCTCTCTCTCTCTCTCTCTC